CTTTAGGACTTAAGAGAAAAAATGACCGTTTAACGATTTATCATTTTTTTGGAACATTTTAATAAATTAATGATATAATGTATAAAAAAATAATAGTTTTTTTCTGAAAAATAAAATAAAAGTTTGTTACCCTCATAAATTATTTTCCTAAATTAATAATCAAAACTTATAAAAACAAGATAAAGAAAATTTATGAACCAAACTTGTTGTCCAGAATTTTGTGTGATTTGTGGTAATTAAAAGAGTAGCTATAAATCTGTAATATCCTTTTCGAAATAATCCTATAAAAGATTATTGTAATTGATATGTATTTGAAAATGGAAAAAATGATGTTTAAATTGTTGGCAAAAAGCAAAACATTGGTATAGAGTATATAAGACTATATTGAACGTAATTGTCAAGAATTGTTTGAATCATGGATGAATAAAAGTAGGTAATAAAATTAAGACAAAACTTCAAAAATGGTTCCTGTGGTTTTCGAAAATATCAAGTTTGATCCATAATTTACAAAAACCTCACGGATCGTCCCTGTGGTTTCAAAACTTTTAACATTTGGTACTTTCGGCTAACTCTGTTACCATTTAGCCGTTAAGTCAGGGACATTTTTGTCGTTTCACTACACAGGGACCATTTATGAGGTATTCAATTACTTTTTTGTTTAAAATAAATAAATAAATAATATTTAATATGCAAGGGGTCCCACCCCCCCTCTCTCTCTCTCTCTCTTACGATTCCACACGGTAACACCACCTTCCGCCATAAAACCACCACTGCCATCACCTCCTTCCCCACCGGAAACCACAACCCAGCCACCCATCTTCCATCCCGTTTGATCACTCAAACTCACCCTTAAATACCACCACTTACTGCCTTCCATTCACGTTTTTCTACTGCCCTTCCCCTTTTCCTTCACTACCGAGAAACACCACCACCCCCAAGGGTGGTGTTGCTGTTGTTGTAACCCAAACACCTCATCGAGTGTGGCCTATTCGAATTGAGAGCCAATCTTCTTCTCCAGGTGTGAAATTTTACACTTTCAGTTTTGTGAAGGAACATTTCTTTCAGGTGTTTCATCGAGCACCTGGAGTGCATTGTTCTCCTCATTCATTTTCTGATTTATTTAGTAAGAGTTATCACCATTGGAAGCATACAATTCCAATTTTCTGTCCAGAGACATCCAATTCAGCAAATAGATGAACATGTATAGAGATGGGAATAAGAAATTAAGGAGTTGGAATTAAAATAAGGGAAAATTGTAAGAGACTTGGATACAGGCATGAGGAATCGTAGGTGCTCTGCTTATTCATTATCATTCGCTTCACCTGATCCCACTCCTCACATTCTTGTGCTTCTTAGTCCTCTACCAATCCTCCCAAGATCCTTCCAGAAAAGGTAATTTTGCTTTGTAAATCGATTGAAGCAGTAGAAGGTGGTGGTGGCGGTTGGAATCATGGTGGCAGCAGCAGATGGCGGTTGTAGTGGTGGCCGAAGGTTGCTCCGGTTGCCTTTCTTGCTTCCTTCTTGCTTCTGCTCAGCGGGGATGACGAGAGGGAAGAGCGATGGACGATGTCAGATGGTAGATGGTCAGAATAGGAGTGTTCCAACAGTCACTGCGGTGACGGTGGTGAAGTGGGTTTTGCCAATGGTGGGTGGCAGCTTTGCTGCCCGGTTATTTTGGCATCCGGCGGTTCACGACGAGAAGGAAGGGGAAGGCTGCAATGTTGATGGCAGTGGAGGTGGGTTAATATGGTCCTTTATTATTTTGGCACAGAGAGAGAGAGAGAGAGAGAGAGAGAGGTGGGACCCCTTGCATATTAAATATTATTTATTTATTTATTTAAAAAAAAAAGTAATTGAATACCTCATAAATGGTCCCTGTGTAGTGAAATGACAAAAATGCCCCTGACTTAACGGCTAAATGGTAACGGAGTTAGCCGAAAGGACCAAATGTTAAAAGTTTTGAAACCACAAGGACGATCCGTGAGGTTTTTGTAAATTAGGGACCAAACTTGATATTTTCGAAAACCACAGGGACCATTTTTGAAGTTTTGTCTAAAATTAAAGATAAAAAATAAAATGGAGAAGGGTGAGCATGTTCAATTGTTCATGTTTATAAAGCAAGACAGCTTTCTTTAGAATCAGGTTTTCCGGGAAGCGCTCTCTCTCTCTCTCTCAACAGATTCCATCGCCACCGTGATCCCTCCCCCCCTGATTCCCGCTTCCCCTTTCCACTTTTCCCAGTTTTCTTATTTCCCTTTTTCTATTCCGGCGGACTCATTCTCTATCTTAAATCTTCTTCTTCCTTCTTCTTCTTCTCTTTCTCTTTTCCTAAAAAGTTGAAGCTAATTTCTTACAGGGTTTGGCCAGTGGTCAAAACTAGTGGTGAATTTGATTTTGAAGGGAAACTTCATTCCTCATTCCTGTTTGCTCCTTGTTGCTTTTGCAATCAATGTGTGTTTGGTTGGGCCAACTTCCTTCCATAACCCGTCACAATAAGTCATGATTGCTGAGGGAGAAAACTTCTGATTACTTTTTTCTTTTTGCATTTCCCTATTTTGAAAATGAAAGCTCCGTCGAATGGATATCAACCCAGTTCCGGCGAAGGTCTGTATCTCTCAAATTTCTTCTTCTTATTATAATTTTTCTTTTCCATCATCATCTATGCTAATTCGGTTTACGATTCAGTTCATTAATAACAAAAAATAGATCATTAAAACCCATACAACTCGCCATAAATTTGGGTATCTTTCGAATCACTTGAAGTAACTTTACTTTAATTTCATCGAGATCGTTTTTTTAATCAAGTTATTTCCCCCCTTCAGACAGAGATTTATCATTTATGAACTAAACTTCGATTTAGATGTCAATTGATAAGATTCCGAGATCGAACCTCCATTTTTGTAATGAATCCCGAGTTGAAAAATTCGTAGCACAAACAATCAACAATTTTTTAAAAGCTAATTTTGTTTTGTGGATAAAATCAGGTGCAAGAAAGTTGATGAATTCAGAGTTATGGCACGCGTGTGCTGGCCCTTTAGTCTCTTTACCTCCAATCGGAAGCCTCGTGGTCTATTTTCCACAAGGCCACAGCGAGCAAGTAAGTGTCTTTCACAATATCTTTATAAAAAATTAAAAAAAAAATACATGAATTCAATTTACTAATAAAATTCTTCTTTCTTTTTTTTTTTTTTTTTTACTATTTTATTCAAGGTTGCAGCATCCATGAAGAAAGATACAGAAAACATCCCAAGTTACCCCAATCTTCCATCCAAACTCATCTGCATGCTTCATAATGTCGCATTACATGTAAGTTTGTAACTCACTTCCCTTGTGACAAAATTAATTAAACACCCTTTCATTAATAAATACTTAATTATAATTTTCGGCATGTTTTTTTTTTTTTTTTTTTTTTTTTTTTTTAATTAAATTAGGCTGATGCCGAAACTGATGAAGTCTATGCACAAATGACTCTTCAACCTGTAAACAAAGTAGGTCAGCTCATCATGTATCATGTTTTAGTATTGATTTATTCATTTAAATTTATTTTTGAGTTTCTAGAAATAGATGCTGATGACATGGTGTTAATTTTTGTAGTATGATCAAGAAGCATTACTTATGTCTGAAATGGGTTTGAAGCAAAACAAACAGCCAGCTGAGTTCTTTTGTAAAACTCTTACAGCTAGTGACACAAGCACCCATGGTGGATTTTCTGTCCCTCGTAGAGCTGCTGAAAAGATTTTTCCACCTCTCGTATGTTATTATTATTATTATTATTATTATTATTATTATTATAAACATTTTTATGTTTTCATAAAGATTGTAAATTTATATTTTTTTATCTCACAAAAAAAGATGTTTTACAGGATTTTTCAATGCAACCTNTTGTAGCCAGAGATTTACATGATCAATCATGGACTTTCAGACATATTTATCGAGGTCAACCAAAGCGACACCTGTTGACCACTGGTTGGAGTATCTTTGTTAGCTCTAAACGACTCTCTGCTGGCGATGCTGTTCTCTTTATACGGTATTTTAACAAAAAAAAATGATTTCGTAGTAAATATTTATATAAATATAATTATATCAGTATATGTATATTAAGTTATTTATTTTTTCTATAGGGATGAAAAATCACAGCTTCTATTGGGAATCAGACGAGCTAACAGACAGCAGCCAGCTCTTACATCATCGGTTATTTCCAGTGACAGTATGCACATTGGAATTCTTGCTGCTGCTGCTCATGCTGCTACAAACAACAGACTATTTACAATTTTTTTTAATCCTAGGTACAATTTTTTTTTTTTTTTGAAATCCTTTTTTTTTTTTTTTTTGTAGATTAATAATTTTCTATTTTACTACAGGGCGAGTCCTGCTGAGTTTGTGATTCCTCTAGCTAAGTACAACAAAGCTATGTATACTCAAGTTTCATTAGGGATGCGATTCAGAATGATGTTTGAGACGGAGGAATCAGGTGTACGGAGGTACATGGGAACTGTCACGGGTATCAGTGATTTGGATTCCACGCGTTGGAAGAGTTCACAATGGCGCAATCTTCAGGTACGCTTTTAATTTCCAATCTACTTACATTTTTTTACTCATAATGACTATATATTTTTTTATGTTCTTCTTAACTTATGTTTCACTACCAATATGGGAATGCAATTTATTTGTTACATATTGTTGTTATTGGTAACAAAAATATAAGTACATTGCTATTATGGGTAAAGAATTGTAAATTGTGTAATCTTTAGGTTGGATGGGATGAATCAACGGCTGGTGAACGTCCAAGTCGTGTGTCAGTCTGGGAAATTGAACCCGTTGTGACTCCGTTTTATATATGTCCGCCTCCGTTCTTCAGACAAAAGTTTGCTAGACAATCGGGAATGCCAGGTAATCTTAAAGTATATAAAAAATGTAAATATTAAAAAAAAAAAAAAGTAACCACGACCTATACTATATCTATACTACTCCACTACCCTGATTCTAAGCCAGATTATTTTGTTTGTTGATTTTGTAGAAGATGAGAGTGACATTGAAAATGCTTATAAGAGAGGAATGCCATGGCTTGATGATTTTGGAATGAAGGAGGCCTCGAGTTCCATTTTCCCTGGGTTGAGTTTAGTGCAATGGATGAGTATGCAACAAAATCATGGCATTTCATCTATGCAACCGGGTGTCTTCCCTCCTAATGCTTTGAATAGCAATGAAGATCCGTCTAAATTGTTGAGCTTTCAATCCCCTAATCTCATTGTTCCAAGTTCCCAGATGAACAAACAAAACCAAAGTCAAACAAATCAACTACATCAACCATCTCTTCAATGGACCCAACAACAACAACAACATCTACAACATATGTTACAACAACAACAACCACAACAAATGCAACAACAACACATGTTGAACCTTCAACAACAGAGCTCTGTGTACTCTCAGCTACAACAACAACAACAACATCAACAACAACAACAACTTCAGCAACAACAACAACAACAGCAACAACAACAACAACAACAACAACAACAACAACCACCACCTTCATCCGTATCCCAAGAGTCACAATTTCAGCATCAACATGCACAATTACAACAAGCCCCGTTTCATATGTTACAACATAGCCTGTCACCAAGACAGCCAGTGCAACATGCGCCACCTCAGCAAAGCCACTCTGAGCAACAACTATTGCAAAAGGTTCAACAACAACAACAACAACAACAACATCAACAACATCAACATCAACAACAACAACAAATGCAATATTTGTTATCATCAGTAACTCGAACAGAGCCTCAAACTCATTTTCCTATACAACAACAACAACCCAAACAACAAACTTTACCACAACAACAGCTTAGTGGTAACAGCTTTTCAACATCAACTCTCCTTCAATCACAATCTTTCCCTGTAAACCAACTCCAAAGTCAAAGTCAAAGTCAACCGAGACAACTAATGCCAATAAGAGTTCATTCTGGGATCACAGATGGAGACACTCCTTCGTGTTCCACTTCACCTTCCACAAACAACTGTCAGCTAACTCCTCCATCAAGCTTCTTAAACAAGAACCAGTTAACTCCATCCACCTTTGTCAATGATTCCATGGTTGTTTCTCATCATCTTCAGAATCAAAATAAATGTAACATTAGAGTGAAAGAGGAGTTACAGTTACCCGATGTGAAACTACCAGAGCCACCTAAATACAAAGAACAAATGGAACCTTCTACGTCTGTCACATCATACTGTTTGGATACAGGTGGCCTTCAAAACAACTTCTCAATTCCAAACTTTTGTGTAGATGGTGACACCATTCAACCACAAACAAGGAGTAATAATAATTTAATGGGTAATATCGATAGTTTGCCACCTGATGCTTTGTTGTCAAGAGGTTTTGATTCTCAAAACTTACTTTCAAGCTTATGTGGTGGCCCTAGAGACATTGAGACTGAGTTGTCAAGTGCTGATATTAATCCACAGTCGTTTGGGATGCAAGATATGTCTTTTAAACCTGGTTGTTCAAATGACGTTTCTACCCGTATTCAGAAAAATGATGTTGCTGTTAATGATTCGGGTGTTTTGGGAAATGGGTTGTGGGCTAATCAAACTCAACGTGTTCGAACATACACAAAGGTAAATAGTAATACTAGCTTTTTTTTTTGCATCTTGTTGAAGTTGATTTATGTAAATTTTGTGACTGAGGACTTTTATCAAACACTTGGTGTGCGTAGGTGCAAAAACGTGGGTCTGTAGGAAGAACTATTGACGTGACACGTTATAAAGGGTATGAAGAGCTTAGACATGATCTAGCACGCATGTTTGGAATTGAAGGTCAATTAGAAGATACACAAAGGACTGATTGGAAACTTGTTTATGTTGATCACGAGAATGATATATTGCTTGTTGGTGATGACCCATGGGAGTAAGTCGCTAAACTGCTTTCTCTCTTGTATAATTCTTTATATGTTCATGACTTTTACCTTTTCTTTTTAACAGAGAATTTGTGAGCTGTGTTCAAAGCATAAAGATACTGTCGTATTCTGAAGTACAACAGATGAGTTTAGATGGGGATTTGGGTAACATGCCAGTCCCTAATCAAGCTTCTAGCGGGACTGACAGTGGGAATCCATGGAAAGGGCAATATGAAGATAACTCAGCTGCATCTTTCAACAGGTGAATGCTTCATGAGGTGTGAGGGCAAATCAGTCTTTTTAGATTCTGAGGGATCAATGAAGAAGAACCATATGTTCTTGTAGGTTTTCTGATATAGAGTTTTCCTTGAGTATAATAGAGATGTTAGGTACTTTGTAAATGTGTTAACAGCAGGGTGCCAACAGGCGAATAGATTATGATGTTAATAGGTGGTGAATTGGATAGTGGAGATTAGGAGATTACTGTATTTTGTTCTCTTATTGCCTTTATCTATCACCATGTATAGATATATAGGGTGGAAAGGTATCAAGGTATCTAAATCCGATGTGTGTTTTGCATGATATATAGTTTGAGTTCCACAATTGTAAACAAAAAGAAAAGATGATATTGATATATTATAACATGGGGCACTTACTACAAAACATTTAAAACTTGCTCAAAATTTGGGGCATTAGTGACATAAGAACTATATACAAATGCCATGTAAAACTTGCTCAAAATTCTACTTGGCTCAGCAACCCTCTTTAAGCTAAACCAATCATCTGCTAATTTTCCTCCCTAGTTCTTTTGATTTCACCTTCCCACAAGAAACGTACCTGACCATAAAGCAAGTGCTAAGATATTAGCATTAAGAAACATACAAATATATCACACATGTTGATCATAAATAATTTTCATCTTTATTTGTTTCATAAAAAAAAAAAAAAAAAAAAAATAGGAGTTGACGTGTGACAACTTACTCGACATCGCCTTCACTCTTTTTATTTTTCTTTTTTTCTGGCCTTGTCATGGCTTCTTTCATTAGCACTTGAAACCTAAAATTTTTAAAATTCTTTCATGAGCGTTGCTCACAAATATAATATAATCTAAAAGGCATTTGAGCATCTGTGTACATCGTAACTTGTCCCATCTTTATTTTATTTATTTTATTTTTATATATTTTTTAATATTTTAGTAGTGGGGTGATCTTGGAGGTGAATCAACTGATAGCAAGAATACGAGCATGTGGAACATGAGTATCTCAAAAGAAAAGAAATCGTTGTCTTATCCACGTGTGAAGTCTAGTTCATGACGACAACAATGACAACATGCTAAGTCAAAGCCATTTGGCTTGGAAATATTGTGTAGGAACTAACAGGATATTATGTCATGCTCATGCCTATCACTTTGAATGCTATCAATTGGTTTAACGGAAAAAATCTCATGTTTAATGGTTGAAGAAAATACATTGACATTTGTTTTCACTACATAAATTAATGTGTGAAATGTTGCAACTTGTAGTGGAACCGTCAAGTCAAAAGATAAATGAGTGAATATTTTTAGAGTAAACTGCAAAATTGATCCTGTGGTATTCCAAAAATATCGTTTTAGTCCATTTTTTTTTCTTGTGCATGGTCGGTCCAAAATTGAAACTTGAATGCATATTTGGTCCCTCGAAACTTAGACGTAACTTGAAATGAAGGATTTGTCCTTACTGTTTTGTTTTTCCATTTCTTTTAATAAAAATAAAATAAAATAATACACCTCCCCTCTATCTCTTTAAACACCACCATCTATCATCAAATTCATTTTTACATTAATTACACCTAAGCACACACTCACCGTTGTCGCCCACCGTCGCTCACCGCTGCCGGTTACCGCCAACCTCTACCCACTACCGCCAACATTCGCATGCTTCCCCACCCCCTCTCTAAATAGAATCTCTTTCAGGAAACCCATTTTAGCAAACTTTTATTCAGTTGCCTCCAACGGATGAAGCACCGCCACCGACGGACAAAGTTGTCGTCTGAAAACTGGCAATATGGCTAAGGCTTTCTTCAAATCTGAGAAAGGGCTTCACACTAGAGACGAAGTCGCCACCACTGCTTGGAGTTGTCGCTCGATAATTGTAGTGAAGATCTAAAAACTCAAAAACACGATGTGTCTAACAGTGTTAAACGACAATGGTGCTGTTTGAAGGGTTTTAAGCATTCTAACACTCCTATGGTTTACATGCAACCCTAGAAACCTTGGATCTATGTTTTACTAAGATACATGCA